TGTCTGTCTGTCTGTCTGTCTGTCTGTCTGTCTGTCTATTCCCTGCACTGTATGGCCGTATGGTTGTGTGTCTCTTTACTCAAATTGACCTTTGTTGTGGGTGGTTGGAGGGCGCACCACTGGTAGGCCCTACTTATTTTCTTTCTCTCTGTTGTTCCTGTCTTCCTTGCTCTTTCCGTTAAAGAACCGTAATATTGTGTCTATGGGATTCTCGTTACTCAAACTCACAAACTGCTTTTCAACTGTCGTTTTGTTTTGCCTGTAGAAAACTTCTGTGGGTGGTTGGCGGGTGCTCTGGTGTGGTTTGCTCCATGTTTCCTATCAAACATCTATCGTCTTTAGTTCCCCTCCCTCTTTTTGTGTTAGTTACTCTCTTGTATCACCTCTAGTCTTCGGCACTTACATGACCTTATTGTGTTGCAAGTGCCGTAAAACTCTTACTAAAAAACAATTGTATAGCTGGTTGTTGATTTGTTTTGCCTGCAGAAAACGCCGCTGAAGCTCTACTTCTCCATATACCAGACGGTGGTCAGGAAACTCCGCTGGGGATCCGAACCCCCGCGCCTCACTCACTCCACACCGCTGGACACTTGGACGCGCCCGGAGCCCAGCATCTGCCGCACGCCCCCCGGGCAGACAGACGGCCTGACCACACAGACAGACAGCCTGACCACTGTCGCGACACCGGGTAGGAGAGATGTCCGCCCGCCCACCACCCCCTCTGATGTCGTGCCGACCTCGGAGTCCGCTGTCTGTGGGGATGTCGCCTGTCCTCCTCCTCCTCCTCCTCCTCCGCCCACTCCTCCCACCGTGGGCGCGACGCGGTCAAAGGTCACAGCTGCCCGCAGAGTGAAGGTCACAGCCGACAACGCCACAGTGACTTCTTCCAAGACAAAGGTCACAGCCGACAGCGCCACAGTGACTTCTTCCAAGACAAAGGTCACAGCGGCCCGCAGGGTCAAGGTCACAGCCACGACTGCTGCTTCAACCTCCACCTCTTCCACCACCAGCACCACCTCCACCAACAACAACAACAACGACGGCGACTCTAGTGGGGTCACGCCAGGCTCAAAAGTTACGACAACAGCTACCTCCCCCTCCCCCTCCTCCTCCTCCTCCTCCTCCTCCTCCTCATCCGGGTCAAAGGTCCCAGCCACCGGCCCCACCCACCCCTCTGACCCGTCTGTGCATGGTGTGGCTCCTACAGCCCCCGCTGGGGTCGTTGTATCGGTGACGTCAGCCTCTGCAGCAGTCAGTGTGCCCGTCAGTGTGTCAGTCAGTGTGCCCGTCAGTTGTGCAGTGAGTGCCGCAAGGACCGTCCGCGGGACCTGCCGGGACGTGGGAGGACAGGTGTCTTCCTCAGGTGGGCGTCGCCCGGCTCCAGGTGTGGCTGCCTCCAGAAGGGAGATGGCAGCGGTCAAGCGACGCCACGAATGTCTGGCGGGTCCAGGCATGGGCGGGAATGTCAGGTCGAGGACCTCACACGTGGCCAGTGACGTCACGTCGGTCCCCTCCCCCGCTAAACAGGCCCGGACCAACGTGACCACGCCCCACCTGACCACGCCCCTCTTGACCACACCCCTCTCGGGGAATAATGGCAAAATCCCCATCTCAAAGTCTGCCGGACATAAGTATGCCAAAGCCAAAAGTGTGACTGCCACCAATCAACAGCAGCAACAACAACAACAGCAGCAACAACAACAGCAGCAGCAGCAGCAACAGCAGCAGCAGCAACAACAGCATCAGCAACAACAACAGCAGCAGCAACAACAACAACAGCTACAACAACGACAACATCAACAAAAACAACAACAGACACATCAGCAACAACAACAGCAGCAGCGACAACAACATCAACAGCAGCAGCATCAACAACAACAACAACATCATCAACAACATCAACAACAACAACAACGACGACATCAACAAGCACAGCAACAAGTGCTCTCTGTCCCTAGTCCATCCCTCAGTGTCCCCCCCACACCAGCAACAACCGCTGCCCCCCCCACCTCCACCCACCCACCCAAGAAATGTCCCTCCTCCAAGATCCTGGGCAAACGACCGGCCACCATACCTGTTCCCATCGCACCCGCCCCGGCCAAAATGGCCGCCCTGAGTCGCAACCCGATAACCACCACAGTGCCCAGCGGCATGATGCGTCTGGACGCCAACTTCCACCCCGCAGCACAACAGCAACTACAACAACAACAACAACAACAGCTACAACAACAACTACAACAACAACTACAACAACAGCAACAACAACTACAACAACACCCGCTCCAGCACATGCCCCAGATAGTACAGCACCCGACCACAACAACCACCACCACCACCATGTTTTTCCCTGTCAACGGTCTGCCCCACCCACCCCCACCATCACCATCACCAGCACCATCACCATCGCCAGCACCACCATCAGCTTCACCCCACCATCCGGTGACCTTGAGATGTCAGCCGGGAAACCCTCCCAGGGGCAGCCAAAAGATCCCCGGGAAGAGACAGAACGGGCTGGTGATGACCTCAAAACTAGGTCACGCCCCTCCTGCCTCCTCTCATCAGATGTCTTCTTTGTTGAGCATGGCGACACTGGATACCTCCCGTCCTTCCTCCGTCACTCCCTCCCACCCTCCCTCAGTCACTCCCTCCCACCCTCCCTCAGTCACTCTCTCCGTCCCTCCCTCCGTGTCGCGGAACAACAAGCCCTCCTCTCTGGCCCTGACTCACTCACGAGTGTCTGGTGGTGTCGCAGGTAGCGTGGGCTCCTCTGTGCTGGGAGGGCCAGGTTCGCACCTCTCTTGCGCCTCAGCATACTCCCTGTTAGCGCGGACTCCGTCTGTCGCTGTGGCCAAATCTTCGCCGTCTGCTTCCTCCCCGGCTCACCACGTGACTGCGCTGGGGAACTATGTGACTATTCCGGAAAACCAGGTAACAAACCAGGTGACAGGAAACCAGGTGGCAAAGCAAGTGACTATTCCGGAAAACCAGGTGACAATGCAGGTGACAATTCCGGAAAACTCGGTGACAAAGCAGGTTAGCGTGGCGGGACTTGAGTACCCCCCCTCCTCCTTGTCATTAGCCACAGCAGGCACACACTTACAGCTTCCTCACCCATCATCATCAGCACCCTTATCATCATCGTCTACGTCCGCTCCGTTATTGTCCAACGGTTGTGCCCAGACCCCGACCCCCTCCTCCTCCTCCTCCTCCATGGCCTCCCCCACCCCCGCCTCCTCAGCCTCCCCTACCCCTGCGGCTGTGCCCAGCCAGCAGTCCCAGACACAGGGCATGGACACCCTCCACACTCCCCAAGGCAGGGACACCCTCCACACTCCCCAAGTGCCTGAAGGCACAGACACCCTCCACACACCCACGGACACCCTCCACACGCCCCAAGTGGCCGCTGGCACGCCACACACAGACAGTAGTGGGGGCGGAGGTCAAATGTCAAGGACACAGACAGCCCCTGTTGGGTCCACTACGCCCCGGCCAGCGACACACCCACAGGTGGAGACCCCCGAGGGAACACCGCTCGCCCAGGCACACGGAGGTCACCCGGCCGCGGGGAAACTGACCACCGGACCCCCCACCACAGCTACATGCGAACTGCTCCGGGCTGACGCTGGCAAGGTGAAGGTCATGCCCTTGCAACAGTCCCGGCAGAACGGCGCAACGGTTACACCACACAATACCCTGCACGATACCCCGCACAATACCTCACACGGTACCCCGCACAATACCTCACATGGTACCCCGCACAATACCTCACACAGTGCCACTCATAGCACGCCTCTCCCGATGAAGAATGTTCCAGAAAATGCCCAAAGAGACAGCCACCAGCCTTTGACATGTGCTGCCCCCTCCCCCTCCTCCCTCCCCCAGACACCGCAGGCAGTGGTCAAGTCATGTGTGTCCTCCCCTCCCTCTCTGGACTCCTCCGCCTCCTCCCTCATGTCCTCCTCCTCCTCCTCTGAGCAT